CATGGTCAAAGGATTCTCAACCTCTTTCCACCGCCTTGCAGGGACCTAAACAACGTCCCTCTCAACGCTAACTGCACCCAATTCCTTTCATAGACTAGTTGCTACCAATGTCGAGCCTAATGCAATCATGGTCGCCCATGACCCGGGAACAGGATAACGGTTGCACCCTTGATCCAAATCAAAGGCTGCCAATCAAAAGAACAATGCGAAAAATTCAAACCAAGCCCCAAGACTATCTTGCCCAACCCATATACACACAATGAACTACCATCATGAAAAGTCTTAGGGAACCCATAACCTCATCCAAAAAAAGCAGAAATACCAGAGTTCTAACGAACAACGAACCTCCATCATTAACGGATGACAGTCTCAAGATCGATCGAAACAAGATTCCTTACTCGCCTGAGACTGAACATATTTCTCTAATAAACAAACAACTCGAGACGACATCTAAGTGATCTTGAATGCCACCCAACTCAAGCCTGCTATGACTAAAATTCCACACTATCATTGAGGGTAAGCATGTCCAGACACCAAAGGAACATAAAACATACTAAATTTGACGATAAGCTGTCACATCTATAGAACTTCAATGTCATACTAAAACCCTCAAAATCCTTTTTTGAATGACAAACGATGTGACCAACAATCGCGCACATGAAATTAAATCGAATGAACCAAAACCCTTGCGGGGATGAACACACTAAATCATGAAATTAATTCCTTGCTCGATTCTTACCCAAGCTAGACCATAATTAGAAATCCTTACACCCTGATGACAATTCCCTCCTCCACCTATACTCGATTTGAGTGATCTCACAGTTCCTTATCTATTCGTTGACATCTTAAAAGAAGCCACTAGCTACAACGATCTCCTTGACAAACCACTTTTCTGCTGAGACACAACCCATGAATCACCTGACCCACACATCCGAGCACCACCTACTATATGCCCTTGCCTTAACCAAATCCCAAACCGAGATTCGACCTACTCTCACCGCAAATCCCTATGAGTCATCCTTCCAATACCATAAAGTCGAATAGATCAATGATCTTCCAAATAGAATACCTAGTTTGCCCCCACTTAGGGTTCGAACTACCACCCAATGGTGTTGAAAACAACCCATAACTCAACCAGTTCAACGAATTACAACCATCCCTGACCCTGGAAGAATAACACATGCAGGCTGATCTTCCAGATAAGGATCAAACAAATCCTACGAGAATCCTACATTTCAGTTGAAGACCTTTAAAATTTCCCATTCATGACCACTTAACATTAAGGATTTCATGTATCCGCATCAGAACTACCGACTTACGATCCCAACACATCTACTCCTTGCTACCGCTGCTTCCCTGGCAACGATAGTGATTGAACCCAAAGGTTCTATCACAACTAGCATTTCTGTCTAGGAAATTCTATCCATGGATGATCAACTCTCAATGTATCTTGTAATTCAAAGTTTGATGATAAACGTAATAGTTATTCAAAAACAACTATTCAAATCAAAACTCTCTCGTGAAGCCGAAAACCTAATTCAATACATTCCATACACTCTACTTGGGGTTATACCCCTAAATTTTCCGGTTCAAACATTTATTGGGCCAAGAATCATTTATTGGGCCTAATGGGCCAATAAACTTACAACTTCATTATTTTGGGCTAAGAATCCTTATATGGGCCCTAATTGGACCTACATTCATTAAACTATAACATTATGGGTTATAAGACTTTTTATAGGCCTTATTGGGCCGTAAACAACCTTCTTGAATTTTATTGGGCCGTAAACCCAATTCCTTTATCATTTTGGGCAGTAAACCCACAAACAGGGCCCAATGGGCCAAAAGTATTCTATCTGGGCTAATATATTCTCCATATATGCTCAAGCCCAATACCCATCTCTTTTTCCTCCCCCTCCGCTCTCATTTTCGGTTTCATATATATATATATATATATATATATATATATATATATATATATATATATATATATATATAAAAGAGGGAATAATAAGATGATAATTATGGTGTTCCCACCTAATTTTTGTTTAATGGATTTCCAAGCAAATAACCCACATATCTCTAGGAGTAAACCTACATGTATTAACCAACTAAATCCTCTCCCCTCCCTCTCTCTACTTACGACCGATAGCCACTCTCCACCACCCACTTCAAATTGAAAAATATTCCTCTCTTATCTCTCTAAGAACTTCAAGAAGATCCTTCCCTTCTCTCTTCAAAATTCGTGTGTGCTAGTGTGTGAGTTCAAGAGCACTTCATCCAAAAATCCACTCATTTTACTAAGCTACTTCCATCCAAGAGTTTAAATTCATGTTTATGTTAAACTTACTTCTCTTAACACTTCATTTCGTGATTTATGATCTTAGAACTTCCTAAGCTTGAAAACTCATCTCAAGGAAGCATCTAGGCCGAAATCTCCTCCAAAATCTTCATCAAAACCGAATCCAAAACACCAAAGTGATTTCATACCCCCTATTTTTGGTTTTTACTTTGTTTTGGGGAAGAATACAAGTTTCTTTGTGTAGATCTATGTGTATATGCGTGTTTATGTGTGTTTTTCATGAAATGTGTTGTGATTATGTGTTGAAAACTTCATAAACTCAAAAGATATACTAAAACATGATGATGTTTGTAATATAAAACACTTGATGTTTGAAAGGATTAAAAACCTTTTGCGGAGGTTTGAAACAAAGAAAAACCGTGTAAGGGGCCAAAAATGGACAAAATGAACAAAAGTGAGGTTCTTATGTAACTCACGGTTTTTGAGAGGACTAAAAAGGGTTATTTTAAATAAAAATGGATCCTTATGATATTTATGGTTTTAAAAGGACTAAAAGTGTAAATTTTCACAAATGGGCCTCAATTTAGGCCTTCACGGCTTCATGGACTAATTTTGGAAATTTTTGACTTTTGTGGACTTAATTGTCATTTTGAACAAATTTGAGCCAAAAATGTTATTTTTCGGATTTATGGGCTAAAAATGACAAATTTTTTAAACTTGGGCCGAAAAAGATAATTTTATGCATTTGGGCCGAAAATGTAAATTTTCCTAAAATTGGGCCGAAAATGTTATATTTGACAAAAATTAACTAAAAATGTCATTTTATTTGATACAAGCCCTTAAATGTAAACTTTTGGTCTTAAGGGACCTAAAGTGTCATTTTTACCAAAAACATGCCTAATTTGTAAATGTTTGTCCAATGGACCAAAAATGTCAATATTACAAAAAGTGTGCCTTTTATGTCATTTTGGTAAACAATTGAACAAGAACGAACAATACAATGACAAACGAGTTCAATATGTTAAATTCACTCCTATTGGGCATGGAATGCACGTTACATGTCTATTGGGCCTTAGTGGCCCACTTACATGCTTATTGGGCCTGGAACACACATTTCATGTCCAATGGGCCTTAGTGGCCCACTTACATGCTTATTGGGCTTGGAATATACATTACATGTTGTTTGGGCCTTTGTGGCCCATTTACATGCTTGTTGGGCCTAATAAACTAAAATCATACACACAAACAATATACACTGTGCAATTCAATATTCGCGTAAATTCAGTTAAGACTCTTGTGAGACATTTCGTTTGTTCACACCTATTTAGTGTACAACCGTAGCCTGTAGTTATAACCAGAGTCTCCTGGAGGGAGAGCGAGAGTTTGTGTATAGATCTATACGGGGTTGTCACCCCACACCTGAGCTGTTCGCTACAGTTAGACTAGGCCAGTCTAGGGTGACAAACCTTACCTTAAACAAGTCGGCGTCGGAAAAACGTAATGACGGGCGGACCAGTCATTATCAAGTATGGTTATAACGACTCACAAATAAATTAACTCGACTGTAAAATTTACAGAATACATAGACGATTCTACAATTACAATTCTATACAAATACCAACTCATGGTCTTTGGGTTTTTTTTTTATTATTACCACACTTTTACGAGCAGAAAATATCAGATTTTCTGGGAAAAATATACATTATATGTCACCTTCTAATTACAAGAAAACATCAGATTTTCTGAAATACTCGTTTTATACATTTTTCAAAACAGGAAACACACATCCATAAATATATGACTCGATACAATACTTTCAACCATTTTCAAGAGAATATCGGATTTTCTGGTGTTTACACATTTATACAAAACTTTTCATACAAACATGCTTATGAACTCACCAACATTATATATGTTGACGTTTTCAAAATAACTTGTATTGTTAGGAAATCGTTAAGCAGGTGAGCATCAAGAATATGGGGAATTTGTTGCATTTTGTTGCTATTATAAACCTTTATATTTTGGGATGTAACTTTTGTAAACAATTACAATGATGTAAACTCAGTATTGCTGTATTATTTTTTCATGTGATGATGATACATGCTTTGTTTCAATTATATTCACTGTGATGATATTACAAGATGAAGTCACCTCAACCCCCAGACGTTTCCGTCGTACTCTTCGGTTCGGGGGTGTGACAGATTGGTATCAGAGCTTTGTTTATAGTGAACTGGCATATCTAATCATACAAGATATGTAACTATAAATACAATGGGACTAAAACTACTCTGAAAAAAATAAATAAAATACATACATATGTGTGCATCATTACAATAACAATAAGAGTCTTTGGAGGAATTGAACATCGTGGTTAAACCCGAACAGTTATGTAGTCGTATTGTGGATAAATAGAGCGTGATCAACTATATTTATTCAAAATATGACCAACATGTGTTTGGGAGTGATCATGGTGGGCAATGAATCTAGAAACTTACCATCTAATTATCAAAAAGTTTTAAAGAATCAAATGTAAACAATTGAAATACTATAGGAGTATTTTGAAATGCTATCTACACATACACTCCCCTACATACTTATCACCCCTGCATTTTCTCGCGCCATTATGGAAGAATTCCAGTAGACTGCCCTTTACTATAAGGCCTTGGTGGCCAATGGGTGGATTGAGGAGGAACCTGTTATGGTTCAAGAGGCAAATCCAGGGATAGGACCTGAAGAGTATTTAGAGACATACTACGAGTACGAGAGATCCAACGAGGAAACTGAAGAAGTAAGGAGCATTGAGGAGGTTATTAGTGAGTCCCACCCTTTAGGAATGATACCAGACCATTACACGACACAAGAATACCCCACTGATCGGACGCGCTCCTTGGAGGAGGAAGTTGCCACTCTCAGACAACAACTTTTCACAGCAGAAACCAGAGCAGCTCGAGCGGAGCCTGAGAGGGACGAAATCACTCGGGAGATGATTGAGCTGGCTGACCTGTTGGTGTGCCATTTCGGCATTTGAGTACCACCACCAGAAGCTTTCCTCCGCGACTAGGATCAGCTCCACCCCTCATCACTATTGATATGATTCTCTTTTATGTACTATTGTATGTAGGATCAGCTTTATGTTCAAGTGACTACACTACTCATAAAGCTGTTATGCTGTCCGATTATATATGTCTCTATGTACTGTACACCTTCCAAGGCAAATTTTCAAGCATTGTACTACCAAGATTATCATTAATGAAATCATTCTATGATTTAATTGTGATGTTGTAATTTGCTATGTGTCCTACTTTTCTTATTTCATGATATTGCATGAATTAGGTTATATGCACAACCGAACCATTGAAAATATTAGATACCAAAGGAACACGAAACCACAAACTACTATGTGCTCATCATCTTTCTGCTCCATGACAGAAGATGCCTCCAAGACTGAATCGCAGAAACAACAACATGGCACCACCACCACCACCTCCTCCAGAGGTGAACTCTGCTGCTTTCCAAGCAGCTGTCTCAGCTGCAGTCACAACAGCTTTGGAACACATTCAAACTAGGAACAATGGTGGCGGTAACGGCCACGGAACTGGAAGCTCGAACCAAGGAATGAACCAAGGTCCTACCAAGGTCTGTACCTACAAGGACTTTTCAAATTCCAAACCACGAACATTCAATTGAACGGGAGGCGTGATAACTTTAAAGCGATGGATGGAAATAATCGAGTCAGTCTTTGAGATTTGCGGATGCCCTGAGGAATGCAAGGTGAAGTTTGTAGCTTGTACGTTTGTCGACAAAAAACTTTCGTGGTGGAATGGTCATGTGGAAGCTAAGACACTCCCAGTGGCGAATGCCATGCCATGGGAGGAACTCAAAGAAATGTTGATGGCAGAGTACTGTCCCCGTGGGGAAATACAGAAATTGGAGCAGGAGTTATGGAACCTCACAATACAAAATTCAGATATCGAGGTTTACATCTCAAGTTTCAGTGAACTAGCCCTTCTGTGCCCAAGGATGATCATATCTGAAGGGAAGAAGATCGAGCGGTTCATTTGGGGATTAACTTTTCCAATTCAAGGAAATATGATTGCGGCGAATTCGGAAACTTTTGACAGTGCAAGAGGCTAACCCAAAAACTCTACGACATTGGCAACACGAAAGGAGCCAAAACCGCTGAAGCTGAGACCAAGAAGGAAGGGGATAACAAGAAAAACAAGGACAACAAGCGAAAGGGATGACAGAACCAAGGAAACTCCAAAAAGCAACAAACTGTAGCAGTCCATGCTGCTACCGCTCAAGTTGCGCCAGCTTCACAAACCACTACCAGGAAATACTCAGGAACCCTACCAAAATGTAACAAATGCAACTTTCACCATCATGGAGAGTGCAGAGAAATGCAGTGTACCAACTGTAACCGCAATGGGCACACCACCCGGTACTGCAGATCTCAACCCCAACAGAATAAACAGTCGAACAACAACAACAACAAAGACAACAACAACAACAACAACAACAAAAACAACAACCCTGGGGCCAGCCATACTTTTTATGGATGTGGAGGAACTGGACATTTCAGACGCAATTGACCCAAAGCCAACAACCAAGGGGCTGGAGGATCGGGCAGGGTCCTGACTTTGGGACAAGGAGAGGCAGTTCAGGACCCGATGGTTGTTACTGGTATGTTTCCCCTCAACAACACTTACGCATGCATTTTATTCGATAGTGGAGCTGAGCGGAGTTTCGTGAGTAATAAATTCAAACACTTACTAAACCAACAACTTCAGAAGCTAAGCAAAGCCTTCATGGTGGAGATGGCTGATGGGAAAACCGAAACAACAAAAGATATATACATAGGGTGCACTCTCACATTAAATAATCATTCGTTTCCAATGAACTTGATGCTAGTAGATATCAGGAGCTTTGATGTGATTATAGGTATAGATTGGTTAAGCCCCCACCATGCTGACATTATGTGTCACGAGAAGGCTATTCGCCTTCACCTCCCCAACCAGAAAACCCTAATAATCTACGACGATAAACCTGGCGCCAATCTTCGTCCTATCTCGTGTATTAAGGCACAAAAATACCTGCACAAGAAGAATTATGCCTTCCTCGCTCACGTTGTAGATAAGGCAAAGGAGTAAAAAAATCAAAGATATTCCAGTGACATATGACTTTCTGGATGTGTTTCATGAAGATCTTCCGGGAATACCCCCAGAGAGACAGGTCGAATTCCGAATTGACCTAATACCTGGAGCCACATCAATTGCCAAATCACCCTACATGTTAGCCCCTACTGAAATGCAAGAATTATCAAGCCAGCTAAGTGAACTTCCGGATAAAGGATTCATCAAGCCGAGTTTCTCGCCCTCGGAAGCTCCGGTCTTGTTTGTCAAGAAGAAGGACAGATCCTTCAGAATGTGCATCGACTATCGGGAGCTGAACAAACTCACTATCAAAAACCGATATCCACTCCCTCAGATTGATGATATATTTGACCAACTTCAACGAGCTAGTTACTTCTCCAAAATAGATCTAAGATCCGGTTATTATCAGCTCCTAGTCCGAGAAGAGGATATTCCAAAAACTGCTTTCTGAACTCGATACGACCATTTTGAATTTGTTGTTATGCCATTCTGTCTGACAAATGCCCCCGCAACATTTATGGACCTCATGAATCGAGTCTTCCGCCCTTTCCTCGATAACTTCGTAATCGTCTTCATCCATGATATTCTCATATGCTCTAGAAGTAAAGAGGAGCACGATCAGCACCTCTGTCAGATCTTGGGAACTCTAAGAGCTGAAAAGCTTTATGCAAAACTCTTCAAATGCGAGTTTTGGATTCACAGTGTGAACTTCTTGGATCATGTAGTCAGTGAGGAGGGAATCCATGTGGATCCTTCCAAGATCAAGGTTATTGAAGGCTGGGTGATTCCGAAAACACCAACAGAAATCCTACAATTCTTGGGACTCGCAGGCTACTACCAAAGGTTTATTTAGAACTTCTCCAAAATAGCCAAGCCCTTCACCACTCTAACACAAAAAGGCATACCCTTCAACTGGACAGACAAGCAAGGAGATGCTTTCCAAACCTTGAAGCAAGCCCTCTGTAGTGCCCCACTGCTATCCTGACCAGAGGGTACCGAGGACTTCATAGTATATTGCGATGCTTCGAACCAAGGGTTAGGCTATGTCCTTATGCAACGTGGAAAGGTGATAGCTTACGTGTCCAGGAAATTGAAGTCACATGAAGTAAATTACACCACCCATGATCTCGAGCTGGGAGCCGTGGTCTTCGTCCTAAAGATTTAGAGGCACTACCTCTATGGTACAACGTGCACCATCTTCACGGACCACAAAAGCATCCATCACATTCTAAATCAAAAGGAGCTGAACATGAGGCATGAAGATGGGTTGAACTGCTAAATGATTATGAATGCGAGATCAGGTACCACCCGGGCAAGGCTAACGTGGTAGCCGATGCCCTGAGCAGGAAAGAATACTCAGGTCGCCAGGTGAAAACTTTATCGATAACCATCCACTCTCATCTAACTTCTCAAATCAAGGAAGTACAATTGGAGGCATTGAAGCCGGAGAATACCGCTAATGAATCACTGCGTGGGATGGAGAAGAATCTAGAAGTCAAGGGAGACGGAGTTTACTACTTCATGGAACATATCTGGATCCCAAAATATGGAGGATTCAGGGATGTAGTCATGAACGAAGAGCACAAAACACGATACTTCGTCCACCCAGGTTCCGATAAGATGTACCTGGACATTAAACAACATTATTGGTGGCCGAACATGAAAGCAGAAATTGCCACTTACGTGGGCAAGTGTCTCACGTGTGCCAAGGTTAAAGTGGAATATAAAAAGCCATCGGGATTGTTACAACAGGCAGTAATATCCGAGTGGAAATGGGAAAGGATCACCATGGATTTCATAACCAAATTACCTAAGAAAGCAGACGGGTTGGATGCTATCTGGGTAATTGTCGATAGGCTAACTAAATCTGCCCATTTCCTACCAATAAAAGAGACGTACAAAATTGAGAGTCTAACACGAATCTATATAAAAGAAGTTGTGAGACTCCATGGAGTGCCAACATCTGTTATCTCGGATCGAGATAATAGATTTACTTCGCGATTTTGGCAGTCGCTCTAGAAGGCAATGGGAAAACAACTAGACATGAGCACTTCTTACCACCCTCAAACCGACGGCCAAAGCGAGCGAACCATTCAAACACTTGAAGATATGCTCCGATCATATGTGATCGATTTTGGCAAATCATGGGATACCCACTTGCCCTTAATTGAATTATCGTACAATAACAGTTATCACACGAGCATTAAGGTTGCTCCTTTTGAGGCCTTGTGTGGTCGTAAATGTGGATCGCCTCTTTGCTGGGCTGAGGTGGGAGACACCCAGTTGGTGAGAGGGCAAACACTGACCAACACTCTTACATGACCCTAGACCATTCGGGAAACGACGGAGAAAATAGTTTCAATCAAGGCACGACTCAATCTTCACGAGACCGACAAAAGAGCTATGCTGATAAACGGCGAAAGCCTCTCGAATTCCAAATGGGAGATTGGGTTCTATTGAAGGTCTCTCCCTGGAAAGGGATGATCCGTTTTGGGAAGCAGGGAAAACTAAATGCATGATACAACGGGCCATTCGAGATTCTTGCTCGGATTGGTCCGGTGGCATATAAGCTGCAGCTACCTGCGGAGCTCAACAATGTACAGCCCGTGTTTCACGTGTCAAATATGAAAAAGTGATTACCAGATGAAACCCTCGTTGTTCCCCTGGATGAGATCGAAGTACACGAGAATCTCCTGTTTGTCGAAGAGCCGGTTAAAATAATGGACATGGAAGTGAAGCTTACAAAACAAAGCCGCATTCCAATTGTGAAGGTTCGATGGAACGCTAAGCGTGGACCGGAATTCACATGGGAACGTGAAGACCAGATGAAACAAAAGTACCCTCACCTATTCTCTAGTTTTTAGTACTATCTTTC